TTTTTTCCTGGAACAACCCTGGCACAACTGCTCCCTGGGTCAGATGTGAAACCCTTGAACGAAGATGTTTCGTCGAATTCCAGTTAATGGTCGAACATACTCAGCTTCATCACTCTTTCTAATTCTAGCGCACTCTTTATATCCCGAGCACATTTGTCATGAAAACTTAAACCCCGTCGGTTGAAAACTTTGTCGAGCTATAATGGCGTATCTTCAAATCTGCCAAAATAATACGCCGATAACTAGTAGCTGATCATGTCGCTGCCGGTCTGCCCGCCGAGCTTGGCAACTGGCTTACTTGCTCTAAATTGTTTACGAGCGAAGTCACAGTACACTTTACACTGTAGCCCATTGATCACCTCATTGTTTCGTCTGTGTACACCGGTTATTATTTAGTCAGAGACGGTCTTCTTGACTCTTCTTTGGAGTTTCTCAATGTTGGTCTGGGCTTCAATCTGTATGTTTTCCAAAGGGAAGATTTACCACTGTTTCTTTCGTATGTAATCTCCTGAAACTGACTAGACTCCCAAAAACCACGCGATTTGCTGGCATACTGTGTAGAGGAACAGGCATTCCCAGCCGAGTTAGGTCATCAAAATAACACATAAAATGAGTTTCCGGGTGGCCGCAGATGCGAACCGAAAAAGAATGTACTCAGATAATTGGAAATCAAAACAATGGTCGAAATTCAATGCTGCGGATCACCCGACCTCATCTTGCGGCTCTTCACAAGCATTTCATTGTCTGGACCATATCAATCAATGCTGCCGAACAAAATGCACTTGAGGCTGTCGGATGGAATAAAGAACTTTCGTGCCCTTGCACACAAGTCGGCTTAGGCCAAACGAATGATGGTCGGTCAAGCCGCTGCAAGTGACCTTTTCCACCACACTGCTTTGGAACATTATTCAACACACAGGCAGCAGTGGCAAGAGCAGAACCCCCGAAAGCCTGGGAATAGACATCAACCGGCGACGCATGTGTGTGTATCTAACACCATCTAGTTCACATCCGTCAGCACCTCTGTCCTCATCATGTTTGTTATGGCTGACGGCTGGGTTGGGATCCGCGTCGTTAATCATCCAGAAAGATGTTCATCGAAGTAGGCCAATTCAGCAGATCGGGCAGTCGGCACGAACGTACATTTTCACCTATCGAGCTTGGGAAAGTTTATGTCGTACACTAGTCCAGATCTCCAAAAAGGTGTATACTGGATGTTGTGCGTTGTCTGTATGCCCTTTTGCTGGATAGAATCAATAAACATACCTCCATGATGTTGATGTTGTGAACACGCCTGAATGAGTTTTCAGGCTGTTTGGACAATCTAATTAACCGTTACTGTGATCTTCTTCAATGGAACTTGCTCGTAACTTTACATGGAAGCTTATTTTGTTTAAATTGCATTTGAGATGGGTTTCATTGTGAGGTGGGCTTTGTCATTGGAGGTCGAACTTTCAGTCTATCCGACGCGGATGGTGATTCAGATGTAAGAGGAAACGTTCCAAGAATTAGATGAATTACCTTGTCTACCCGTTTCTGAAGGACTTGGTGAACAATCGGTAGTTTTTAATTAGACAGCGTTTCACCTTTGACACAAAGGCTTCACCAGGCCAAGTGAACAGGCCAGCAAGTTGGCCAGGTTTTAAGGCAGACGGAGAACCAATCGGTGAGACGTCTTCAGTCTTGTCTACCCGGCGAAATGGTCTACATAGTGAAGATTTCAGCTATGGATGAACCCGTGGAGACTCACTTGAATTTAGAGGGTCACGAAGGCGCGAATCGGGGTTAGGAAACAGGAAAAGTCAAGCTAGGATACGAAGGTTTATCGCCTATTTCCATAGGTCGAACAGTTGATGGAAATATGTCTAGATGACGGTTTAAAACCCTTTTCTTGTCAACCTATAATGGAATGGCATGAGGTTTGATCTTGTTGAGTAGTGGATATGAGTTGCTGGTCTTATTCTGTGTTTTTTCCCGGGGAGTGGTTGATCTGACCTCGCCCACTCTTCGAAAACCTGACTCCAAGACAGCCGGGCAATTAATCCCATTCGATTTGCGACTGCTGGAGCGAAACAAACGGGTTGTTGACCTCGAGAGTTACACGAGGCGATCAAGAGGCCTACCGCCCTAATTTGCATCCATCTAGATTAGGAAGACCGATGACCTGAAGGTCGGGGCCACTGTATAAAGTAGCCATGTGAATACTAACTCCACAAGTGCGAGTGAACTAGTTCAGTCCTTTCTACTGTGTTACGTCATTTAGCTGTCACTGTGGCTACTTATTGTCGATTAGGCCTTAAAAACACTCAAATAGAACCATATAAATCTGGGAACCTGGGACCCATACGCGAACATTGTAAAGAGCTCGTCTGACAGTCTTAACGGGCGTCAAATAATGAGTTATTTCAACCCAATTGTAGTTCCTCTTGACGGTGTATCAGGACTGGTCTCCGGATGCTCAGATTGGAGGTTAACTGATGCCATTTCGAACTGACTAATTGGTTTGCAGTTATCGATCGGTCCGATAACATTGAGACCCCTTTGGATTATTCACAACACACTAATTGACTGATAGCCAAATGTTTTACGCTCCCTACTAGCGACATAATCAAGGGTCACGAAGGCGCGAATCGGGGTTAGGAAACAGGAAAAGTCAAGCTAGGATACAAAGGTTTATCGCCTATTTCCATAGGTCGAACAGTTGATGGAAATATGTCTAGATGACGGTTTAAAACCCTTTTCTTGTCAACCTATAATGGAATGGCATGAGGTTTGATCTTGTTGAGTAGTGGATATGAGTTGCTGGTCTTATTCTGTGTGTTTTTCCCGGGGAGTGGTTGATCTGACCTCGCCCACTCTTCGAAAACCTGACTCCAAGACAGCCGGGCAATTAATCCCATTCGATTTGCGACTGCTGGAGCGAAACAAACGGGTTGTTGACCTCGAGAGTTACACGAGGTGATCAAGAGGCCTACCGCCCTAATTTGCATCCATCTAGATTAGGAAGACCGATGACCTGAAGGTCGGGGCCACTGTATAAAGTAGCCATGTGAATACTAACTCCACAAGTGCGAGTGAACTAGTTCAGTCCTTTCTACTGTGTTACGTCATTTAGCTGTCACTGTGGCTACTTATTGTCGATTAGGCCTTAAAAACACTCAAATAGAACCATATAAATCTGGGAACCTGGGACCCATACGCGAACATTGTAAAGAGCTCGTCTGACAGTCTTAACGGGCGTCAAATAATGAGTTATTTCAACCCAATTGTAGTTCCTCTTGACGGTGTATCAGGACTGGTCTCCGGATGCTCAGATTGGAGGTTAACTGATGCCATTTCGAACTGACTAATTGGTTTGCAGTTATCGATCGGTCCGATAACATTGAGACCCCTTTGGATTATTCACAACACACTAATTGACTGATAGCCAAATGTTTTACGCTCCCTACTAGCGACATAATCAAAAGAGTTTCCAGCAACCTTGTAAGTAGTTTCCTTTATGAAAATATACTGCGATGTCTCGAATATCGTGCCAACTGAATCATGAGGCGGCCTGTGTGCAGCACTCTCAGTTGTAGAATATCATAAACGAGAGATTCAGTTGAGTCTCTCGTGAAAACTAAATTGATTTGCAAATGAGTGTATTTCTCGAAAACAGTCCAATTTGGGTTCAAGTAAAACATAAAGTTGACGGAAACTCGGGGACTGCGCCTACCTGGTGAGGCCAAAGTGGAAGGGCGAAACCGGTCGTGAGCTGTCGAAGAGTTTTCAGCAACCTTGTGAGTAGTTGCCTTTGTGAAAATAACATACCTGTCAAACGTTCGTGAAGACATACCCCAACAGTCCGAATGGGGCACGTCTTTCGTTCTTGAAGTAACTTAAGTATTTGAAAACGCGGAACATTATAAGGTTAAAAGCTGATGAGAACTGATGCACGCCCCAAATAAAGCCAAAACACTCGACGTACCATCTTAGTTCTTGGGATACAGTGTACCAGCTAAGACGAAGGCATTGATCTATCAGTCCCCAAAGCCAGCTGATGCCCTTTTCTACCATCCGATTTTCACCTCGAGCCCCCGTGAGACAAGATCACATTCCAGAAGAGAAAAACATCTTGCAGCAGTTGCTAGTTTTGTCAGATTTGGGAAAGAATCCCGGCGCTTTGTTACGATTTTGAATTCGAGTAACTTGAGCCGCACGCAGCCTTGGTGGAGCATACAAGGGTGGGTATGCAGTATAGATAGGCTAGTTAAAAGCTGAAATATTCAGACCCCCCCCCCGATATCATTGAGGTCATCTTTGGAGCGAAACTTCGTTGCCTTGACGATACTGTTTTCCGTACATTTCTATGCAATAGGAAGCGAGTAAATGCGGAAGACACCTCCCAACTGCGCACAATTGCTTCATGGTAGTTACATTCCTAATTATAGTAATTAGTTGTAGGAGTGGGGAGGCGGTCTTTGAAACCTGTGCAGACGCTATGTGCAAGGAGAACCAAACACCACGTAAAAGCCCATAACCCTAACAAATATGTCACCATTTGCTACATCCAGTCGCCCTTCAAACTTCCTCGAAGATTTCGAAACATGCGACACAAGTGCACTTATTGACTGAAGCCACGACCCAGTCGCTGTTCGTTTCAATTAACCAAGCACGAATTAAGATTATCCATCCATTCAATCGTTTGATACGGACGGCACCGAGGCCCACACGCCGTTTAGGCCATCATTCGAGAGTGGCCGAACTCAGATGACTTGGTTGCATTGAGTGTCACCCGCTTGTTGGTTGCTAAGTGACTCACTTCAATAGCCAAGCCTCTGCGGGCTTAAAATCACGAAGATGAGGTCATGGTGACACGTGTTGCTCAGGCACGTGAGCGAAGTTACGAATGTTACCAACGCCAGTGACGCAACTAAACTGACTTCATTATCTAAGAAGCAACTGCCAAACATCGAATAAAGCTAGAACTCGGTCAAGATTTCATTAAGTAGGGGTGACGTGGCCATTAGGCACCTCGTTCGTCGGGACAATATGTTAATATGAAAACCAAATAACAGTGACACGGGAAAGCTCGGATATAATTAAGCGAACAATAGGGCAACGCAAGAAAACACAGTAGCCAAATCATGGATGACCTTGGTGGAGTTACGATGCTTGAGAATGATGTATCACTTAACAAGATAAAAAGCGCTGTAGAGTAGAGGAATAGAAGGACCACTGCCGTGATAAAAGTCGGAAAAGAATCGTGGCCTAGGAAAGGGTGCATACATACATTGGGCATGTGGTTATCACAGAAATGCTTGGCAAAGTCAACTGAGGAATCCCACGCAATGAAAACCGCTTTCAACTGGCCGCTTCTTTAGAACGGTGAGAGGTGTGCTTCAATGCAATAGCACTCTGTACTTTGGATAGTCGGTGAGCGCTTGCGCGCTGGTGTTGCTGCACTGCTGCACTCTTTTGTCTCCGCCAGAATTGGAACGCCTCTACACCGCTCAGACCGCGCGATTTGTTGACCTGTGGCTTGCTGAGACGAGTACCCGGCTCCAGGGCAGATGCCGATCGGGGCAAACTCATTCGAACTGGAGTTTTGCGGATAATTGTCGATGAAAGTTCGGTTTTTGTGCCCTCAATCACAGATCCCACTCCTGTCATAATGTTTTGAGGAACCTGAAAAGAACGATTGACCAGTTAAACCAAGTCGCGAAACACACTAGTTTGCAGCCTAAGTGGGTGAACTGTCAGAGGGTTTCTAGTAAGCATATGAGTAGCTTAATGTCGGGTGAGGAAATACCTAACAATTGTCACAAAACGGCGGAATTTCCCACTTTAATAAAACCACCCGCGGTCAATGATGACAGCGAAGCTTTGTGAAAATAAACCGGACCAATCGAAGCCCTTCGGGGAACGATGACAAGGCCGGTAGTCAGCATGATCTACGGTAAGCTCGCAAGCATACCGTCGTCATAGCAACGAATGACGCGTTTTGGCCCATCTAATGGGACTTGAGTGCAAGCCCGTACCAGAGTTGCGCGAATATGACTGCTGCCGGTCGAAAGCAGTTGAGCCTGCTGAGTTTTTGGTGTTCTGGGCTCGACAGAGCTTTAAAAACCTAGCTGTCGGCTGAATACATGCACGCAACCAAGATTTAGATGACATACGATCGCCAACTTTCCGAATTTCAACCGAAAAATTTGAGCTTTCACTAACTTCTAAGATAACCAGTTAGTCCAGACTGATAGCCAACCAATTTTCCAAATTAGCTTTCAATTTTCTGCCCAGCAGTACGCTCGTTTTTTGCATTCTCTAATCAGTCACCAGTGTCGAAATTGACCACAGTAAATCACCTCGGCGCCCGCTTACGCCTGCAGAAGGCAAAAGACGAAGGCGCAGTTTTGTATAACCGTTACAGACTGCTCAGAAGTCGAGATATTTTCTACCTCGTTTACATGCTGAAATGCAGTCTCGAGTGTGAGTGTCGGAGATTCACTCTACTGTTAGTCGAACACAGCAACGGTCAGATGACACTGAGGCTAGTGTAGGTATTAATGTTCACGAGTCCGAGAAATCACCAATCGACCAATCAACGGCCTTAATCGGGCCAACTGCGTTAGCGCCAACAGATACACACAACCCTTGGCGTGCGGGAAAACTCAGGCTTCGACACTAAGATAGGCTTCGAACCATGCATAAGCGTAATCTCGATCTCCACAGTACAAATGCAGGTTAACCAAGCCTCCCTTACCGGCTTATGAAAAAGACAAAAAGGACCACCTACCCAGTCAGGATTCAGTGGGAGATTCGTTCGCCGCATGCGTTTGGGTAGTTGGTGTGCGCTACTGTCTGAACTGACATCTGGTGGTAAGTTACAAACACTTGACGTAGTGAGTGGCGCACGCTGAATCGGAGAGTGACCAAATCGAATGCGTAACCGATTGCGCACAATTGTGTAGACCAGCTCTGGCAACTGTGACAACTGGTCGGCCATGTGGATCAAGTTGGTAAGTGTGTCAATTCGCCAGCGCAGTGGGTTTTCTTCGGATCCTGAGGTGGATAGTTCAGGTGTGCGTGTCACTGAGGGAGGACCGAACACGGCTACCGCAGCGCATCGAGCCAAACATTCCGCCGACATTCTAGATGTTGCATTCGCTTTCGCAACCCGATTGAACAACTGGAGTAGTCCCAGTAGAATGTTTCGTTCAGGACCGGGTAAGAGCAGTTGAAGCACGATGCGATAGGTCAACAGCTGTCTGGCTTGGCACAATATCGGTACCCAATCTTCACTTGGAAGGTGGGAGTCATCTCCATTCAGAACGTATTGAAGACGTGTGGCAAGAAAACACAAGTGGCTTGCTTGAGTAGGTATCAAACCATGTGTACTGTAGGAATCGGCGGAAAAATCATCATTCCACAAATGCCGAGGTGGATATTTGGAGGCGGAGGACAATGCGGAAGATGGGGTCATACGGGAACCGGTTACAATTGTTCGCAGTAGTAGACTGGCAAGATCATGTGGAGAATAACAACTCAGTATGTTATAGACATCCCAACGATCCCAGTGCACAGCGGCACACGTGTTGTGGTTATCCGGTTCGGGCTGTGGAATGCGTATGTAAGGAGTTTGAAAATAGTCTTGCATCTGAATCCATAGATCGCGAATTCGTTGGGAGTTCCCAGGTATGCGAAATAAGCCTTCGGTGGAATAAACGTCTGAAATATGGGGAGAGAAAAAGGGTCAACTGTAAAGGACGTGAGGAGTGTGATAAGCCTTACCTCCAAGCTACTTAAAGGAAGCACGAGGGCTGGGGTACTGCCAGGTTGCCCAAGCCTAGACAGGGGAAGTCCAGAGGGAGAGGTCGGGTTCGAACCATGGACCTTCCGGTCAGTAAACTCACGCTTTAACCACTTGAGTCATCTCTACCCACCCTTACTGGTATCGCTCTCCATATCACAATGCACGTGTTTCTCGAGTCTGGAGTTACATCATTGGGCAACTGGGGGGAATGTGAAACGCATTGACACAGTTCCTTAACAAACTTAGACTTGAAAATCCTGATTTGTGGACTTGAATTTTCAGTTGGCGCCCAATAATCCTGTACTTTTCGTATAGTTGATGATTGGTCCCGCAAACCGTTCAACACAATGGTTTTCCTTGGTCTAGCCATTGTGAAGATGAAAGTGTCAATGTTTATCGAAACTTTCAGACCTCCTAACCAAGTTGACGCATACACTAAATCGGCCTTACTACGGTAAGAACAGTGTTTATTCTAGATGTTGACAGTACATACCGGAAGCGAGCATCAACTAAGACATGGGAGTGCGAATCAGCCGGAGGAAAACAGACAGTTAGAAGTGTGGCGGGCTTGGCTGTGGAATACGTGCCACAAAGTGGGAAAACTTGACGGGTGATGCACACCATGTTGCTTACCGGGAGTGTCCAACATATACTCAATAAGACACCGACAAATCGTGCAGTCCAGCGTATCACTTCCTGATGGGAGAATTCCTTTCACGATGGGAAGGCTTGATAGCACAGACGGGTGCATCCACGTGTCTGCTCCGGGGCACGAGGTGACAGGCACATCTGCAGAGCCGGGTGAAGGTAAAGAATGGGGGTGGGGGTGACGCACGGGAGTGTTCATACCAGGGAATCCAAATCCATTTATTCACACTCAGTCATACCAGTGTTTGGTTGGATAAATCTGTTGATAGTTACACCTGAATCATCAAAGCTGTCAGTTTGACACGTGGCAGACATGGACTGAATAACCTGGCTGTCGATCCTTCGTTGCCTCAGTGACGATCAAATATTGTAACGTGATAGTCTGCCCTAGCTAGCCTAAGTTAGTAGACAACGGCGTTTCACAGCTCAGCATAGGCTGACACCGTAACACAAAGTTGATTTGTGGGTAGGGATATGTCTCCCCTTTGTTTTGTACCAGGCAGACTGGAAAGAGAAGTACTATTAAACATACAGTTTATGCCAGGCAGGTTAAGCATTGGTGTAGTGCTAGAAAGACTAAGCACAATATGATGTATAATTTGGCATTTTTAAAGTTAAAAGTTTGCTCACGACAACCGAAACATCGGATCACATTTTATTCCACTGTTTTGACTTTAAAAATTCCATTATAGCATTAGAATGTTTATGGGATGGACCAAGACATCTCATTCGATCCATGCGCGTGACAGGTATTCATCCGGGAACCTGGTGATGAGTAAGCTTAACTATCCAAAGCTTGAATGAACAGCAGGGTAACATTGTCACCCGTGAATTCGTCCTACCAAGCATGTAGCAACTTGTTTCTCGTTACGAACGTACATTATGCTATTCAAGCATGCACATATGAAATCTGTCCGGTCAGTCACAAAGACAAAACAAAAACGACACTAAGGTGCACGTGGATGGTACCTTAATGGAAGACAGTAGAGGAACATTGTACTTGGAATGTTTGCGTGTGTATGTGGACTCACCTGTGATGGTAGGACCAATGTTCATTGGTTCTTCGGGTCGAGTGGAAAATAACTTCATTCCACCATTGTGATTCACATTGGTTGGTTTGGACGGGAGGATTTGCTTGAATAAGCGACGGGCTGTGATCGCTCTAAGTTTACTAAGACTGTTTGGTGTCTGTTGACGTCTCATACTATCTGCTGGTGATTTGTCAGGCGAATCACAGTTTACGCAGGGTGACCTTCGAAGTGGAGAACCAAGGACATGGTTTGGGATTCTGGTAGTGCGATAGCCGGAGAGCAATAGGGGATCAATTGTTGATGTTCCTCGACGGTCACACACGATATTATCCAACGCCATAGATAAGGTTTTGCTACGCCACTGGTGTCGTCTACTCATAGAGCCTCCGTTGTGACCTGAGTCCGAGAGCAGACGGGATTTGAGGGGCCAACCTTGATCAAAGTAGTCGTGTGTGAGTTCCAGAAATGAAGCCAAAATACGATGACAGATGCGGAGAAATGTCGCTGGTTGAGTTTCTTGAAACAGTCCGATAAGATGCCAGGCTTCTTCGCTTTCTATACTGGATGATAGACGAGCAGCTCGCCGAAGCATTTCGGCCTAAAATAAGACAAGAATTGTAACATCAGCGTCTTCCAGGACGCAGTCACTGCTAAACGAGTATCCGTCACAATCCTTGGATGGCGAAACTCACAAGTGAACTTTACACTGCCTACTCTTCGTTTGGGTGTTCAACTAACGGCTGTTACCATGCTTCGCTCTCTAGCTGGATATAAATCAGCTGCAATGTGTGCTGGCGTATGAGATCGCATTATTTATCCCGTTCGCTATTATTACACAGCTGGAAGCTCTGAAAGTCGTGCTTTTACGTAGTATTTTTGGGACCCCACGATTGAATACTCGTCTATGGTTATTAATCTATGTCACTGGACAACAATGTGACTGACCTCGTGGGGTGAAAATGCCATCCGAATACCGAGGAGACTACACAATCGCTGCAGTATTATCAATTCAGGCATCTGCAGCTGTCACACCTGCCTCCAAGGTAGATGCAGCTCTCGATGGCACTGGGGATGAATTATGAAGACAGCTGCTTTGAGGCCATGTCAATGGGGGCCAATTTGGCTTCCACCCACCCCTCCTTAAATTTCTCCCACATGTGATTCAGTCCAAGCGCCATGTGGGCGCAAGATCAGAACCTCGAGTGTACAGTGGGTGAACAACGCCCCAGTTGAACAAAACGAACAATCAACACCCACCTAGGTTGAAGTATGTGTACAGGCTGATAATCGCCCCCCTAACTTAATGATTTCTCGCATCGTAACAAGTGCCTACATCACTTTGGGGAGTTTTCACTATATTTGCAAGTTGGATAAAATGGCACCGATAACAGATAAGTAGTGCATAACAAGTGTCATCTTCCGACTTCCGATGTGTGAATTCCCTTGCCTTGGACCTAGGTTTAGTACTCCGCGAGACGAGAACTCAAGCTGGTATGTAACACCAGGTGGACATTTATTCATCGAGGCCGAAAATCAGAAAAACAGCTGCTGGAGTAGCTAACCTAAGACGAGGGTTGAAGGTAAACTAACTTGAACGGGGATTAACCACACACACTATCAGAATGCAAACATCCATAACTGTCTCAAAACGACTACAGGCTCACTCTTCAACCCTATTTATAACTCTAGTAACACGTTTTGTGTTCTCAACGCTACAGAAATGTTCGTTTAATGAGGCATTTTCTCAAAAATGAAACGCTCTCTAGCGATAAATCTATCGATTGTTTCCAAACTTCTCCGGCAACAAGCACAAGCGTTAACTAGTGTTGTTCTACAAAAAATATATAACTGTGTTGTACATGGAAAAGGGACCAAACGTATTTTTAGCAATGCTACTTACTCGAATAGGATCTTCTGGATTCATATTACCGGTTGTTTGTCCTAAATTTCTCATGAAACCCAGAACCCTGCAAACACTAGCATCCAAGACACAGGGCATCAACTGTCCGGCTCACTGCTCCATCTAGCATTTATCGGACTGCCTGGCAGATGCTGGTAGGCCATTGGTCGGAAAAATCAAACCTCAAATTTGATTGGTCGAAATGGTGGCGGAGCGAATTCCTCCGGTCATGAGCCAATAGGCAAGTGAATCGGTGACATCCTGAGGTGGCATAGCAATCACAAGCGGGATGAGAGTGAGTACGCACCATTGCAGTTGCAGGGTCATCATGACCCGGTTGTCATCCGGACAGATTACGAGCACTGAGACTTTGCTCGATTTCAAAAACACCAGTAAATCTCTTCAATATGTCTCTTCAATAAGTTCATTCTCCTTCTGAAATGTTTATAGCCGCAGTTCTCTGACACCTTTTTATTTGGGTCCACGATACAAATTTACAATCTCATTTTGATTATCTAATCGACATAAGTATAAGAATGGTGGTCTTTCAAAAACTGAATCTGACCTTAATGTTTCCTTGGAACAACATTTGATGCACCTTCTGCACTATGTAAGATACAAACGAAATTCCTTAATCGTGTAGTCTGTCAATCGGTGACCATCCAAGTTAAAGCACTCGTATATTGGTGTTCAACCGCCGACTCCAGCAGGATTAGGTTTATGGGTGAACTTAGCAGTGTACAGAAATTTGAGCACAAAAGTACGCCCTCATTCCACCAACAACACCAAGCAAACTTCTCATGGACCGAATGCACCCAGGGAATTTAATGCAATAAAGGCTCTTTCACGAGTTCCATCAAGGATCGATTGTTTCCGACCATATTCCATTCCGCGTAACTTTCAAGGAATATTCCATAAATAAGTGGTATATAGAACCAGATAACATAAACTGATTGACGAAGTACCATAACCATCCAGTTATGAGAGCTCTTCTTTCAATTCAAAGATGTTTGCACTATCTACATACACTACGGCCCATTGATCCCAGGATTCGATTATGGTCCCGATCGGCTCATCGCAACGTGCTCAATGATAATAACTTTGACTGGTTAGCTGAAACTGAATGTAATATGCAATAAAACCGTATGCATACGGTTCGTACGCATTGATACTTGATATGTGGATGAACTGCAGACTTCATTTTCGTGAGCACTAACAGGAATATCGGTTATCAAGGCTGACGGAACGTAGATAACGTTGGGTTGAAAAGTCTTGGATAATTGAAGACTTTCTATAGCTCTGGATAAATCTTCGCTCGTGACATGACATCACTATTTTACCGGGCGTTCAATCGTTATAGTAAAATGTCTAAATTTTGGCGGTTGTGGAGGCTATTCCCCAGATACATTCATTCTTGTTCGCGAGTTCCGCTTTTTTTTTGAGATTTCCTGGTACCTTTACTGGCTTGATTTCTACGTTGACCGTTCTAGCGAAAATCCCCCCACTGAGTGATCTTGGCCATCCTCAAAAGTTCTGCTGCCACGCATTTCTTCAGACAACAGATGTAAAGCAAGTCCATAACCATAGAAATACACTCATTTGCAAATAAATTTGGTTTTTCGAGAGACTCACGAGGAACTTAGCTAAATTCCTCGTTTACGATGTCTTTAAGCAACGTAATGCACCGCTCATACAGTTGTTGAGAATCGCGATATATCGTACGAAGTGGAACATGAGACGTCCTGGCACAGCACACTCAGGTTGATGGAGACTCGGGGAATACGCAGACCTGATGAGCTTCAAGAAGGGAGAAACCGGTCGCGGGCTGTCGGAGAATTCTCAGTAACCTTATGAGTAGTGTAGTAAGTCCATAACCCATTCTGTGTAAGATACCCCAATCGTTTCCTAAACAGGCGACCAAAACACAAAACCATATGGCCAAATGTCAACAAGTAACACCATTTGAGAAGTTTATTCGACTGTCATCAAGTTGCTTTACCTCCTAAATCTGTGTACTACTCCGGTGAACAGGTCCCCGCTCTGATGTTTCTGGTTTTCTGCGTCAAAATATTTCATCTGTCGCCTTGCATATCAGCAAATTCCTACTTAATCTCAATCACAGTTTCGGGTTACAATATGCTTTCCTACACATTTACGCACCATTTTTACTGTCCAACTCATTTAGCATATTCTACGGTTATTAATGACCAGAGAAGGAAGTTAAATTCACTTATTCCCGATCTACCCAACTCATTTGCAATTGAAAAAAACGCAAACTTGGCGGAGGTAATTGTGGGAATGCTACATAGGAACAAACGCACAGTCGTATCAGAAAAATAGTCCGTGCGAAGATGTTCGCGTCGGTGTATTCCGCAAGAAGAGAAACACCAGCCTAATTGGAATAAACTATTTCGTTCAGAAATCCTCACATATTTCGGCAATTCACAGCAGTTTCCATTTTTTATCCTTTCACCCAAGCCATTGTGATTGGCATGCGTCAGACGAGTGGAAATTTGTCTTTTGGTGTCGTACGGCACATCCAAGGCTAAAAGCTGAGTAGGCGTGTTGGGAGGAATATCACGGACCGAGGAATCCGTAGACAATTAGATCCTCATCCACAAGAGAAAGAACCAGCTTTATGGTGATACGGCCATGCAGATTACAGGTAATTGAGAGTCCCATATGGTACTTGGTACCCAGCATTTAGTTTAGCCCCTCTACATGACATTAAGTTTGCTTTGTCTGATCGGTGTCTTGCAATCATAGTCAAAGGAAAACGCACACAAATCTGGCATTCCTTCTGCTTTTTCCTCGGAAAAATCAAGGCTCTACAGTTTGGTCTACGAGTGTGCACTTTTCAAGCTTGCCTCCGTTGGTTTCTATTTCCCGCTTCGTAAAAATCGCGGCTCACCGGTAATAAATTCCTTTGAATTGGTTGAATTTCACGTCCAGTGTTATCCGGAGTCTGGCCCTAAAGGCTTGAAAGGTTCACATAAAAAACCTTTGATCCGGACGGAATCGTATCATCAAAGCAAACGACTCGGAGTATCGAGATGACACGCGATGTGGATGAGATCCCGCGGCGGAAAAGCTATCGATCCTACTGGTCCGATAGTCTAGTGGTTCTTTATCGATCTCAGTGTTTGTTTAGCCGACACGTGGTTGTTTTTTTTTTTAAATTCCATTACATTCTGCAGTGAACTCAAATGAATAATGCCTTTGCGTATACGGAGAAAAAAACTAAGGTTAGTTCCATTTGAGCTAGAATAATTGATGCTCAAAGTTTCCAAACTGATCAGGAGAATGTGTGGGGAACGGAGGAAAGAAGCAGTAGAACCTGAATTCATGGAATACACTCATCTGCATACCAAAATGGCTTTAACGGGAGGCTCAACTGGTTCTCCATCGAATCCTTGGCCTTCGATATTTCCCATTTATGAAAATATACTGTGATATATCGAATATGGCCCCTACCGAATCGTAAGTCGACGGCTGCGCGTCATAGTTAGTTGAACATAAACAAGAATTTCAGCTAGGATCCAACGGTCTTCTGTTAAAACCAAATCAGTGTTCAAGTGAGAATATTTTTTGTATTACATCTAATTTGGGTTCAACTAGAACACAAGGAGTATTGTGCCTAACTTATCATCGCGAAGTGGAAGGATGAAACCATTCGCTAGCTGTCGAAGAGTTTGCAGAAACCTTGCAAGTAGTTTCATTAGGGTGAACCACAAGACTAGTCAAGGCGTGGTGGAAATGAGGATAACATGGAGAGTCTGGGAAGCCGCGCCTACTCTACCTGGATTACTTGGATTTTGGATGTGAAACTACCTGTAATCGCAGGTATATTAGAAAGTGCCTAGCCCAAAAGTAATTGTTAATTGTTTGTTGTGCTGTGTTGAGCGGCCGTGCAGTCGCTGAACACGGCACTGAACACGCCATTCAGGGAGAGGTGCTGGAAGTTGTGGCGCGTTTTACGTATCTTGGAAGTTGTATTAGTTCTGATTGTAGTGTGACAGATGAGGTCGATGCACGAATCTGCAAGTCTCGAGCCGCGTTTGCTAATTTGAGACATCTATGGGGTCGGAGTGGTTTATCCCTGAATCTGAAGGGACGTGTGTGTCAAGCTACAGTACGGGCTGTTTCCTTGTATGGCTGTGAGACTTGGCCTATTCGAGCAGCGGACCTGAGACGTCTTCAGGTGTTCGACAATCGTTGTCTCAACCATAGCTCGTGTGGGTTGGTGTCGGCGAATCCGTAATGAGGCAGTTAGAAAGCGTGTTTTCGGTTGTGCAACGGGTATTTCCACTGAAGAATGTGTCCAGCACCAGAAGCTGCGTTGGTTGGGACATATGTTACGTATGCCGAACCATCGTTTGCCGAAGACAGTGCTGTTTTCCATACCCCAGTCGCAGTGGCGTAAACAGAGAGGTGGCCATCCCTTGACACGGCAAAGGAGTATGAAGGAGATCACGAAACGCTTGGGTGCTGTTGGTGCTACTCGCCTTCCAGGATGCGGACTGCGTGATCCTCACTGTGCCTGGTTGGAGACACTACACGATATGGCTGCCAACCGATGTCATTGGCGTTCTTGTTGTCAGATTCAATCCAGATCGCCTGAGTGAATGTCTGGAGGTATACGCACTTCGGGATGATTGTGGTAAGCTGGCACTAGGTCCCCCCCCGTCCACCTTTACTCTTTTCTTTACAATGAGGTCTTCAAAAAATCATGGTTGTACGGTAGTGAAGCATCGGTATTGAACACTGATGTCATGCTCTTGACGACGACGACTTTGATGATGATGATGATTATGGTGATGATGATGGTAATGATGGTGATGATGATGATGATGGTGATGATGGTGATGATGATGGTGATGATGATGATGATGATGATGATGATGATGATGATGATGATGATGATGATGATGATGATGAGCAGCCGTTGGTTTATCATGCCCGTTTTCAGTTGGGTTGGGCTAACATTATGGAAAAGAAACGGTCCACTCAAATTATTTTCGAATCACTTTCTAGCCTGATAAGCCCAATTAGACTCAATATCAAAGACAACAAGACAAAGTTGCAG